TCCCACTCCCCTACCTTTCAACTATGAGTCATTTAAGGTGGGACTATCTTAGGTCTCTCTGTAGCCCCCTGGCCCAGGAGATGGGACGAATGGTGATACAGAGTAGGGAATCTACAAATATTGGCTGTATGAATGAACTGTTCTTATGTTGTTTTGGGTCTGGAAGGTCTTTAACCCTGTAGCTCATTTTAAAAATCTACCAACCAGTGTCCAAATTAAATGTGACCTTTTCCGTGAAGCCTTTTCCTTCCCCAACGTTAGGAGTACTTGCTCCCTCCATTGAGGTTCTTTGACATAGACCATTTCTCCCTTGTTTTATACCAATTTATGAAAATCTCAGTACTATGAAACCTTGAAAACCCAAAGGAATGAATGCACTCAATCAACACCTAAGGACATGCCCACTGTGGTTATAGGCACCATGCCAGGAAAAGGAGAGACTGGCTGGGCAGGCTGCTTTTTCCTTTTAAGTCACATTAAGTAATTACTCAGGTCCTGTCCTGTGTGGCTCAGTTGGTTGAGAGTCGTCCAGTGCACTGAGAGGTCGCCAGTTCAATTCCCCATCAGGGCACATGCCCAGGTTGTAGGCTCAATCCCTAGTGTGGGGCATGCAGGAGGCAGATGATCAATGTTTTTCTTCCTCCCTCTCCCTTCCTCGTTTTCTAAAATCAATTTAAAAAAAAGTAATTACTCAGCTTGCTTGTAGGGTTAGACCTACTATCTTTATTCTCTCTCCAGATGGATGGGAATTGCTTTTTGAGGATGGTTTTCATGTCTGGTTTATTTTTATTTCACCACCTGTGCCTAGCACAATGCCTCTCTCATAGCAAGCTTCCAATGGATAAATGAATGAATGAACTGAGTTAGTGGGAAACAGCAAATATTGGTTTCCATTGGACTCTACCCTGATATAAAAGGTTTCAGAGATCTGGCCCTAGGAGCACCTTACCCAGAATTTGATTTCACGAAGGGAGTAAAGCCCCCACCCACCCACACCCCCAAGAAGAGACAAAGCCAGGTTGAGGTTTTGATGTCCCCTCTTTAGCTCAGTGTCAAGAACATACCAGAGCTGGTGCTGGATCTCAGGGAGCCAACATGGCCAACCAGCTGTGAAGGCCATGACTGTTCTGTGGATGAATGGAGGGATTGAGAGTGAACTTGTTCTTGTTTTTAAAATACCTACAGGACTTAAAACTCCTTCAACTCTCAGAGCCCTCTATGAACTGCATTTATTTTCGATGGTCTTAGTGGCACACTTCCTGTTTCAAATGAACTCTGGCTGTTTCTGAGGCCAGTATCTCTTTCTTTTCCTTCTCTCTCTCATTCTGTGTGCCTTAAAAAGTCATCTGGGCCCTGGCCAGTTTTGCTCAGCGGTTAGAGCCTCGGCCTGCGGTCCAGAGAGGCCCGGGTTCGGTTTCTGCTAGGGGTATGTACCTTGGTTGCGGTTTGTCCCTGGCCCTGGTTGGGTCGTGTGGGAGGCAGCCACTCGATGTGTGCCTTTCACGTCGATGTTTCTCTCTCTCTCCTTTCCACTCTATCTGAATAAAAATGGGAAAATGTCCTTGGGTGAGGATAAAAAAAAGTCATCTGGGAAGATCGACTCTTGCCACCTTTTCTGCATCTGATGGGCATCTCCTCACAGCTTTGACTCGTGGTCTGCTGAAACAGTCTTCAAACATTTTAGAAGTAAACAGATTTGGGTGCCCCTTGTGGTTCAGGTCCTTGGGTCCTTGGCAGCACCCCAGATGTTCCTTTGGATTGGTGGCATTAAACACATATTTGAGCTGGACCAGAAATTTTTGCGACCTGATGTCAAGGCTGAATTTGAGAAGGCTGCACAAGATGGGTTAACACGATCCAGAAAGGCCTCACCCTTCTTTCCCTGGTCATACACACTGTCTAGAGAGCAGTGTTCTATGAGAGAGATACAACCTGAGCCACAATTTTTAATTTTCTAATAGCCACATTGAAAAATGTAAAAAGAAACAGGTGAAATGAGTTTTAGCCTGGCAGGTTTGGTCAGCCCACAGACCAAAGAGTCATGAGTTCAATTCTGGTCAAGGGCACGTACCTTGGCTGTAGTTTGGTCCCCGCCTTGGTCAGGGGTTATGCGGAAGGCGACAAATCTTTGTGTCTCTCTCACATTGATGTTTCTCTCTCTCTCTTTCTCACTCTGTCTAAAAATTAAAAAATGGGAAAATATCCTCAGGTGAGGATTTAAAAAAAAAAAAAAAGAAAGAAAGAAATTAGTTTTAACAACTTTTAAAATTTAACCCAGTAAAAAAAATACTGTCGCCCTGGCCAGTTTGGCTCAGCGGTTAGAGCGTCGGCCTGCGGTCCAGAGAGACCCGGGTTCGGTTCCCGCTAAGGGCACGTACCTCGGTTGCAGTTTGTCCCCGGCCCTGGTCGGTCGTGCGGGTAGCAGCCACTCGATGTGTCCCTTCACGTCGATGTTTCTCTCTCTCTCCCTTCCTCTCTCTCCCTCCCACTCTATCTGTACAAAAAATGGAAAAATATCCTCGGGTGAGGATAAAAAAAAAAAAAAAAAAAATACTGTCATTTCAACATGTAATCAACATGAACATTATTGAGATGTTGTACAGTTTTTGTACTAAGTCTAAGAAATCCGATATATATTTTACATTTGCAGCACATCTTAATTCAGACTAGCCACATTTCAAGTGCTTAGTAAGCACATGTAACTCATGGCTCCGTGTTAGATATCAAAGCTCTAGAATGTCCATCCAGGTAGAGTGAGGAAATGGTTATTTAGGGTCTATTTTGCCTTCTAATTGGGTTACCTAACCAGCTAAATCAAGATAACAGAGATAGGGAGAGATGAGTGTATACAAATATATGAATATCGCTTTCTCTTCCAGTCCCAGGTGCTTCAGGATCCAAGGCCTTCCGTGCAGATATGGCCAAGTCCAAGAACCATACCACACAGCCAGTCCCGAAAATGGCACAGAAACAGCCCCAAGAAACCCCAATAACAAATTTCTTAAGGGGGTGGACCTCAGGTTCCTAAGGAACATTAGCTTTGCCAGGAAGCACAAGAAAGGCCTGAAGAAGATGCAGGCCAGCAATGCCAAGGCCATGAGCGCACGTGCCGAGGCTATCAAGGCCCTTGTAAAGTCCAAGGAGGTCAAGCCCAGGAAAGGCAGCCGCAAGCTCAGTCAACTTGTCTACGTTGCTATCCCCAAGCTTGGGAAACATGCTCATGCCCGCATTGCCAAGGGTCTCAGGCTCTGCTGGCCAAATTCCAAGGCCAAGGTTCAAACCAAGCCCAGGCTGCAGCTATGGTTGCAGCTCAGGCTCAGGCTCCCACTGCCACTCCCCAAGGTGCCCAGGCCCCCTCAAAGGCCTCTGTTTGCTAATGTGAGGATGGAAGGACTGATGTGACCCCTGGGCTGCTGTCTGCATGGAGCTAGTGTCCTCCTGTGCTATTTGTACAGGTAAATCCGAGGAAGGAGCTGTCAAAACAAAACAAATATATAAATATAGTGAGCTTTAGAGATGGTGTTTTATTTTATTCTTCAAGGCTATACTTTCAGGGATCATTTATAATTTGTTACTAGAGAAGTTTCTTTGAACATGTATTTTATTTTTCAATTTTTATTTATTGATTTTAGAGAGAGAGAGAAAGAAACATGGACTTGTCTTATTTATGCATTCATTGGTTGATTCTTTTTTTTTTTATCCTCACCCAAGGACATTTTTCCATTTTTTGTTCAGATAGAGCGGGAGGGAGAGAGAGGAAGAGAGAGAGAGAGAAACATCGATGTGAAGGGACACATCGAGTGGCTGCCACCCGCACGACAGACCAGGGCCGGGGACAAACTGCAACCGAAGTACGTGCCCTTAGCGGGAACCGAACCCAGGTCTCTCTGTACCGCAGGCCGACGCTCCAACCGCTGAGCCAAACCGGCCAGGGCCATTGGTTGACTCTTATGTGTACCCTGACCTGGGATTGAACCCGCAACCTTGGCCTCTAACCAACTGAGTTATATGGCCAGGGCTCTAGAGATGGTGTTTTATTTTTAAGATCTTTTATTGATTTTTTTTAGAGAGAGATGGAAAGAGAGAGAGAAATCATCTGTTGGCTACCTCCTGCACACCCCTACTGGGGATTCAGCCCAAAACCCAGGCATGTGCCCTGACCTGGAATCTAACCAGCAACCTTTCAGTGCACGGGACAGTGGCCCAACCAACTGAGCCACACTGGCCAGGGCTATAGATGGTATTTTAAAAGTATCTTGGTATTTCCCTGGCTGTGTGGCTCAGTTGGTTGGAATGTTGTCCTGTACATAAAAGATTGCAGGTTTGATTCCTAGGCACATACCTAGGTTGCGGGTTCAATCCTGGTGTGTGTGTGGGGGGGTGCATTCATGAAGCAACCAACTGATGTTTCTCTCTCCCTCTCTCTCAAAAATCAATAAAAACATATCCTTGGGTGAGAATTTTTTAAAAAAGTATCTTAGTATCATAATCAGCCAGAAAATATTTTTTAGGGGGGTGATTAATACTTATATGACCCCCTAGTTGAAACAGTCTTAATTATTATTTTGTTTTCATCAAAGTGTTTTTTGTTCATTTTTCTTGGATTAATGAGTTTAAGAAAACTAAATCTAACAGACAATTTTACTTTTTTTTCTATTTTCAAAATTGTAATTAGGTAATAGCAAATAAAGTAAATACACAACTATTAAGTTAGATTGCAAAATGAACCTTATTGTTTCAAAGGTGCAAAAGCAAGAAAATGCAACATAAACTTATTCACACTTAACATGGTTGTTTATGTGGTGAGTAAATACCACTTAAAAACATTTTTAGTCCTGGCTGGTTTGATTCAGCAGTTGGAGCATCGGCCTGCGGACCAGAGTCCTAGGTTCAGCTCCCGCTAGGGGCATGTACCAAAAAAACAAAACTAAAACCATTTTTAATAGAAAAATGATTTATAAATAAATTTTTAGAAGATTTAAAAAAATCAATGTTTAATAAAAAATTTGGAACGCTTCACGAATTTGCAAGTCATCCCTGTGCAGGTGCCATGTTAATCTTCTCTGTATTGTTTCAATTGTAGTGTGTGTGCCTCAGAAGCAAGCAGAGCATGACAATTTCACTTTCTGATGTGTCATTTTATTCGTGTCAACAAGAAAGGATTAAATATATTTATAAAAAAATAATTAACATGTATTGAGAGCTTGGACACTTGACATATATTACCTCATTCAATCCTGGAAAGAGCCACATGAAGTAGATTATATGATTATTGACATTTTGCAGATGAGGAAACATTCAAGTTGCTAAGTAAACTTGCCCAAGATTATCCAGTTAGCAAGTGGTGAAGTGGTGGACTCAAGCACACTTCTAACCATACACAGCACCTCCTTGCAAAATTAGTGTAAAATGTAACATTCTCCAAAACTGTTCATGGTACTGTCTCCTTTGTGTTTGCATTGATTTTTTTTTTTAGAGAGAGAAACATTGATTGGCTGCCTCCTGCACGCCCTCTCCTGGGGATAGAGCCTGCAACCCTGGCATGTGCCCTGACCAAAAATGAACCGGGACCTCTCAATCCATGGGAGGACTCCCAATTCAGAGCCACACTGGCTGGGCAAGGTCCTGTCTCCTTTTAACAGGTCCTCACAGAGCTTTTGAGCATTCTGGCAAAAAATATATGCTTTCTTGTGGGGTGAGATCAGTACATTTTAAAGCTTATTTGAAAAAAATTGGCCTCATTGCAGATGGATCAGGCCATCTGTAAATTGACATAACCTGCTTCACTGTAAAAAAAAAAAAATTAAAAATATTGATCTATAGTAGAAAATAAAACAAAGTTAAAATAATAGCTCTTGCCCTGGCCGGTTTGGCTCAGCGGTTAGAGTGTTGGCCTTCTGTCTGGAGAGACCCTGGTTCGGTTCCTGCTAAGGGCACCTACCTCAGTTGCAGTTTGTCCCTGGCCCTGATTGGGTCGTGTGGGCAACAACTTGATGTGTCCCTTTCACATCGATGTTTCTCTCTCTCTCTCCCTCCCACTCTATCTGAACAAAATATCGAAAAATGTCCTCGGGTGAGGATAAAAAAATAATAATAGCTCTTATATGTCTTGGAATTGATAAAAGGTGAATTCACAATTCTGTTTATTTAAAAGTCATACCTATATTGGTAGAATTAAAATGACATTTCACTAGATTATAAACAGCAATGCTATCCTACTTTTTTTTTTTTGGTACATGCTCCTAGCCGCTAGGGCCTAGCGGGAACTGAACCCAGGACTCTCTGATCCGCAGGCCAACGTTCCAACCGCTGAACCAAACCAGTCAGGGTGCTATCCTACTTTTCAAAAATCCTGTCTTTAATTCATTGTTTTTTTTTTTCAATTCAATCATTATAAAATGTAACTTAAATGTTTAAGTTCTGGATTAAAATTTCTCAAAGTAAAGACATATCTGGTCTGCCATTTTTAAGTGTGCCAGATAGTTACAAATTATGCTGGTTTCTGCATCTGGGCCACACAATACATTATTATACAAGCTTAGAGTATATATTTTTGTTTTAACATGTAATATAAGTTTATTTTCCCTCTTCTAGTAAATCTTAAGCCTTGTTCAGGGCAGGCTACATTTCCTGATTCCTTTATCAAATTACATATTAAAATATGCTGTTGTCTTCCACTGTGAATTGCTGCAATTTTTTTTTTTTTCTTTCTGAACTGCTGCAATTTTGATATCCCAAAGAGGGTGGTGGGAGTTCTGACTGATACTTCAACCTCACACTTCTTGGGTCAGAATAGAGTGCTTGCTTTTTAATGTTGTCAGGCTCATCCCAGGCAGAGTACTAAGTTTTAAAACAATCTCTTGACAAACTAATAAGAAAGGGATTTTTCAAACTTCAATTTTAGAAAAGGGGATAACTTTTCAAACTGCAAGATGCTGCACAAAGCAAACTATTGAAGTTGCCTCTGCTATTAACTAGGTAGAATGAAGGGGTTAAAACTGTCAAGTCTTACAGACACACTAATTCAGCCCTGTTCTGTTTATCTGTAACTCTAGTAACATATGGAGTTGGATTCTGAAAGTTTGGGAACTTCTTTTTAGTTTTATTCATTGCCTTGAGAGGAGCGCTGAGAAAGGAAGTGAGAGGGCAAAGCTCTGAAGAATTGGCAATTTGGCTTCTCTTCACCCCCCTTTCTTCCCCTCCCCCACTATCTTAGCGATTTGACCCGATTAAACAACTTTGGGATGGTAGCCAGATTTCTGTATGCTAACGAGGTCCCTATTCAGAATTTAGTGCGATTTCATGCACCCCGAACTTCCCGACTTCCCAGTGGAATACTGCCTTCACAGAAATCTCTCAATTTTGTCAGAGGTTCGCCAGTGAGGAGTTCACACTGACTTGAAGCAGAGACAGACTCTGAACACCTCTGGTCACATCACATTATTCATTAGCAAATTCTTTTCACCTTCTATCTAAGTAGTAAAAGGTGACGCCAGAATCGCGTGTGCCACTTGCCGAAAGAGGCTGGGTCCTACAACTTCTGTCTAGTTACTGGTAGTAGCAGAATACGTTTCCAAAAGTTTCCTTAAACCTAAGCCAGATCTGAGAGCTCCCCAGTCTCCTGGAATTGGATCACTGCAGAAGTTTCTGGTGTGTATGTGTAGAACAGAAGAGGGTAGTGGGGAACCGCGCGGAGTGACCACCGCACATTACATAACGAAAGTCCTGGCTGCAGGAGGGAGCGGGCCTGACATTGAGACATTCCGGGAGGGAGGGGAGTTGCTGTCCTGAATCGCCAGGAACGGCGGTGGCAGTTCCAAGAAACCAACAGAGGAAGGTGACTGAGATAAAGAAAACACTTCGGGAATGAGAATGTTAAAAAGTATTAACAAACGGCAGGGCACGTGCAGCAATGTTAGACGAAACGGCATCCTTCCAACTTTTGCACGGGAACAAGGGATTTGCCCTTTGGGGGATTAAAAACGTAATAGAAAAGCCAAAAGCTAATGAATGGAGTTCAATGGTTTGTTGAAAATACTTAAATATTTCTGCCCGGAAGCGCAAACTCTTCGCAGTTACTTAGAAAGTAGAAACTCAAACCAAACTAGAAGACTTTCCCGTGCGTCTACACTTTCCTCAATCCGAAGAAGAGCTGCTCGCATGGTACTGCCCCTTTAAGACCTGCTCGCTCTCGGGCTCTACAAAAGGGAGTGACCTCTGGGCTTTGACAGCTCCCCTAATAACTACCACCGTGCAGGCCCCGCCCACCTGGCGACCAGTGGTGCCGATTGGCCGCCGGGCCGGTATCCCGTGCTTTGATTGGCTTGCCGCTTCCCCTGAGCGAACCTTTAGAACTCTGAGACAGACAATATTCTGTTACATTGTAGCAAAATGGCGACTGTCATTCACAACCCCCTGAAAGCGTAAGTAAGACTAAAAAATGTACATATTCCGCGTGGTTTCAATATGAAAAAAAAGGCGCCTTCTGCGTGCCGAGCGCTGCCAATGCACTGCGCTTGCAGGCGCCTGCAGCTGCTGCGGGGCTTCTCTCTTTTCTTTCACCTCTTACTTCTTCATCTTTTTTCCCCCCAACACGCAGAAATGTCAGGAGATGCAATTAACAAGAAGAAAATTGTTACATTTGTGTTCTGCTTAATTGGCGTGCAGAGAGAGGAGGGATATCGGCAGAGGAGCCTGGCGCTCGAGCGCTCTGCAGCTAGGGGGTCGTGGGCAGCTCGGGGACAACACGGTCCCCCGAGTGCCCGGCCTTGCGGGGCGGCGAGCGCGGCACGGGGGGCGGCCGAGCGGGGGACGAGCGCCGGGCAGGGGCCGCCTGGGTGCACTTGGCTGAGCCCTGCACCTCCGGAGCCCGCGGCCCCCGCCGGGCGTCTCAGTCCGCCGGGGCGAGCGGACCACAGCAGCTCCGGAGTTTGCAGGGAGCTCTCAGCCTTCCGATCGCTAGTGGGGAGTTTGCAAACCTTCCGGAGTTGGGAGGACCGCTGGGGGAGCAACGGGTCCCGGGAGCCCTGGGGCCCAGGTGGTTGCCCGGAGCTTTCCTGCTGGGGCAGCCCCCGGAGCGTGACGACGCTCCGGGCGGTCGCCGGTGTGTCTGCGTGTGTGTTTGTGGGCGAACTGGCTGTAGTAGATTAACGACTCGGGTTAACTTGGGGTTGATTTGGAGGCAGGGAAGCTGCAGGTCTCATGAATGGTGTTCTCGCCTCTTCTGTGTGAAAAGCTGAGGCGGGCTGAGAGGCAGCTTGGGGCTCCCCGCCTGAGCGGGCAGCGTCTGCTCCGGGCCAGAGCGAGGGGCAGGTGCCTCTGGCCGCCGGGAGACTTTGAGCGGACGCCCAGATCCGGGACGAAGGGGGGCGGGCGGCACGAGGACACACGGGGGCCAGTCCCCGAGACCGACAGCCAATTCCTGCCTGCCTTCCTCCTCCTTTTTATCCTGGCTTCCTTCCTTCCTTCCAGTCCGTGGAACTGTTAAGCCGCCAAGTCCGCTCGCGATCGCGGAGCCGGAGGTAGCTTCAGAAAACTAGCGTCGCTCTAAAAGGGGTGCTATTGGCAGTGATGTTGGCAGAAGGGAGCTCCCGCCGGATCACCGCACGACGTGGGTGGGTGTCCGCGCCCGGATAATCGGGTCTTCCCTGCTGGCCTGGAAGCCGCGAGCGAGGGGAGGGGGAGGTGCGGGTGGGGACGTTTCGTGCCGAATTCTTGCTGGTGCGTGGCTGATACCCACCCAGATCCTTTGAGCTCCGCGCATCGGAGTCCCTACTCCTAGCTCCTCCTGGAGTTGAAATCCAGGTTCGCATCGTGCGCGGTGGGGGGTGGTGATGCTGGTGGCGGCCGTGGGATTCCTATTGCGAAGGAACGCACCGGGAACAAGAAACGCGTTTCCACCAGCTTGGCTCCCATCAGTAATAGGAAAAGGGGTAAGAATGTCCCAGGTCTTGGAGTTTTAAATATATACGTATATATTAAAGGTACTGTTACGAGGTCTTTTGAATCTGAGGCTAATCAGAGAGCAACAGCTCCCGGCATCAGTTCTCGCCCTGAAGCGCTGATACACTGCACTTGAACGCCACAGCCTTTCACCCAAGAAAGAAAATGTTTTATGGCAGAATAAATGGGCGTAACTTCGCCGCATCCTCGCTCTCCCCATCGCTCGCGATGCCACACCGCTGATGCTGGGACTTTCTACCAAACCCATAGCTGATTTGCAGTTTACCCATTTCTAGCCGAAATCGCATAATCAGGTTGATGTCACCTGGTAAACTCAAGTTAGAGAAATCTCACTTGTGCGCCAGGTTTGTTTCCTGTTGGGAAAGCCGTACTCTGGTTACCCTGGAGCTCACTTACGCGCGGGCGGGCGCATTATCTCTTCGCACCAGGTTTTTGTTTTTGGACCGCAGGAGGATACTTGTTTGGGCAGGGTGCCTATGTAGGGTTAGTGGTGGAGGGGGGAACAGAAAAGCTGTCTGGTTAGTGGAATTAGTTATGAATTTTTATACTCGAACTTTATAATTAGAAACAGTTGCATTGTGATGTATTTGTAGTTCTGTGTCGCCATACACTAGATACACACAACGCTCCTGCCGGCTTTTTCTAGGTGAGTTGAGTGGTCTTTTGTAATTAGCTGCTCCTTTTTGCACCCCAACCCCTTTCCCTGAGGATAAGGGGGTGTTAACAATACTCCCGGCCAGCCGAACCTCCTGCGTCCAGGACGGTTTTTAAACTCCTAAGGCAGGAGCATACACATTGTTATTGGGAGACCTACACCATCTGCCTTTATTTTTTAAAACAACTTGTTTAATAAAACATCTTATTTTTTATTTGTTTTTAAAAGTTGCTGATCAGGAAACAATACACACGTGAATAAATTATGCATGGGTTAAATTAGAACAAAGCGCAGAGACTCATCAAGCCGAAAGGATGGATGGATGGTGGTGCTGGGAGGAGGGGAGCACGGAGAATGGTTTGGAGAGCTGTGTTTTCATCCTCATGTGTCTTTCCTGACAATGAAACGTGGCTGAACGACATTAGCATTTTCTCTGTGTGCTTCAGAGTCTCTTTCTCCCCTTAAAAAAAAAAAGCTGATACCACTGACGCCCCCTACAGAAACTGGTCACACAAAGGTTTCCTCTAGGATTGGGAATAGAGTGGTAGGTAAGGTTCTGGGAAGAAACAAGATCAGGTTTCACGCAACACCTCTGTAGGGCTCTCTCTATCCTGAGTATGGACCATTTTTCATTGATACTCACTTTTTCCACGTGGGACATTCAATAATTCAATAGCTCAAGTAACTGGATGGCACAATTTGAATCTCATTGCTTTGGGGTCTTCCTTAGAGGCCCATGCTCCTGGAGCCACATCTCTCAGCAGTTTGGCTTTTTTCCTGCCTGTCTTTGATCTCCCCTCAACTCTCTTTCTTATTCCTCCTCCTTGTACCCTTCACCCCCCTTCTCTCTGAAGCTGACAGCCTGGCTTCTCTTTCTGTTGTTGCCTTTAACATCTTATTACTGCCCAACAGGGTGTTAGAGGCAGAAACAGGAGCTGCCTGGACTGATCAGATCACAAAGGGGACTCGGCAGGTGGCCACACAACCAAGCAGTCACATCTGGACAAATAGAATTTAAAAGTATAGATGGACATGTATGAAGTGTAAGTGGATATTACACATTATTTAATTTAGCAGCTACATTGTCTGAGCCTAGATGTGTGAGTCACCCTCATTTATTACACCTACAAGCAAGATAGGGGCCATGTAGTGAAGTCACATATGTAGGTAACATAAATATGCATTTGATAAAGGTCTGTGTGTAAGTCAGTTACATTACATAATTGTGTTCCAGTTGATATCTGCATACCTAGGAAACATAATGCTTTTAATATAAATTCTAATCTTACTTGCTATTCTAGTTCAAGTAAACTACCCTTCCCAAATGTGCTAGCAACACTTTAAACAACTTACCTTTATTAAGTTATCAAAACTCTGGTTTGTATGCACTTAATTGGGAATGTCTGCCACCTTCTGCCAGACTTGATTATGCACATATGAATCTATTATTATAACTGCCCGCTTAGGAAAGAATAACTGTTATTATTATTTAATTATTTCTTGTAAACCAACAGGGCTTTACCTCAAATAACTATTTGTTTATAAAGAATGAGACCAGTAAACTATTTTCTCATGCTTATAATTGTGAATATACATAATTGTACTGAAACATTTTTTTTTGTTAGCACTTTCACTTGCTTAGAGGTATTTGTTTATATCTGTTTAGTTATTAAGGACACAACTCTGGGAGAAGTAGATATACTCACTTAGCTAAGGTTAGACAGCAGGTCAAGTGTATAGATGGACCTCAAATCTTCATCTCTATACATTCTATGATCTGGATACATTGCATTCTAATCTGAAGTGGTTTTGTGCCTATGAAAGTTGTGTAATTGTCAGCCACTTAGAAGCCAGACCTTGCACTTGCTATGGCAGGTTAGATATCAGAGATGGGGGTAGGGGGCACATTCCTGGTTCTAATCTCCTCCTAGCTCTTTCTAAATGAGAGTAAGAGGGGGACATTGGGGTTGGGACTTTGTGAGCTTGCAGCCTTTTATGGACATTATTGTAGCCACTTAACGAAAAAGGACTTCAGACATTTTAAGGCAACAGATGCCTAAGAACCACCTTTTCCATCTGCTTCTGGTTGCCACTGGGGGGAAAAAAAAAGCCCTAAATTCTCCAAACTTCATTAGCACGCGTTATTTTTTCAGTGGGAAGAATGTCTGGTTTTGATGAGATACCCATAAAGAAGATTAATTTCTACCAGAATCCAAGTGGAGGCATTGTCACAGGGTAAACCTCTGAAAGTAGCCCGGCCTGCAGACCACCTGGGAGACATCCAGAGATCACAGTGGAATGCAGCTGCTCAGATCCATAAGGTGGGCTGAAATTCAGAGGCAACTTAATTGGAGACTTCTCATCTTCCTGTGTCTTTTTGGAATTATGCAGGTAGCTGGAATTTAGATACATCTGAGAAAGACCATCATATCTAAAGCTGTTTGAGAGCCATCTGCTCAGATCAGTGCAATAAATAAAATGTCACAGCATGCTTTGTTTTGAGCGGGCACCAGAAAAAAGAAAGGAAACTGAGGCTGATGTTTCAGTTTTCAGTGCAGCCACACTGAATGTAGTGGTGATGAGGGCTGGGTCATAAAAAGGCACCAGAATCCAAGCCTGTTTATTATCCCAACCTCTTGTGAAGTACCTTGTAGTTTTTTTTGAATGTACTGAAAGTCACTAGAAGACAGAAATGTAGCCAAATGTGGCAAGCCCCAGGACAAAGAAATGCCACAACCACCGAAAATAGTTTTGCCCATCTTGTAAAAGTGTGACCCTAGTTTTAAGTAGTCTTAAATACGTAGGTATTCAACAAGGAAAAATAAAGAGTTTCCTGGGATGGGGAGAAATAGGTGAGTGGATAAAACCATTGTGTGGTCTGGCACTCTGAAAAGACAATTAACACCAAAAGAGTACTATTATGATCCATTGCAAGTTACAAAGTTTTCTTTGGTTGTGTGAGTGACTGGGGAGAGATGAGGTGTGTTGTGTTTTTGTAATTTGTTTTTCTTATTGGTCCGGTTACTAGTGTTTCACAGTCTGTCAAACCATATGGATGAATGGAGGCAGCATCGTAAAACTGTCACCAAAGGAAGGTTTTTGAAGCCTGTGATTTGCATCAGAGTTTTAAAAAAGCAGTGGTTGGGAGGTGTTGGGTGTGGGTGTGTGACGGGTGGAGGCCGGGGAAGAGGAGCAGCCTGTTTAGAATTTCTAGGTAGAGTGTTTGTGAATAGCAATGTGCAGGGGGATTAGGCTCAGGGCTTCTAATAATGGGGTTCAAATAGCCGACATTGAGTCCTCCACCACCCAGGCCTCAGTTTTGAGCCGGTTGAACAATGATAGCACATGTCTAATCCTTTTGCGCCCTCTCCACCGTCCCTGAATCCAGACACTGTGGATGCTCTCAGGCTGCTGTGAAATGAGTGAGGGTTTTGTTGTTGTTGTTGCACACTTGGGAAGTCTGCTGTTGTTATTAATGGTATGTAATTGGAAGCCAAACCAGAAAAGGTTTTCTAGTCCCAAACTTTCACCTGCCATCCGTGTGACCCTATTTTAAGCTCTGACCCTCTTCCATGTCATTCATTTCTCACCAGTGACCAGTCTTTTGCGGTTGTGATGTCTTCAGAGTAGTGGAGGGAAAAAGGCCCTGGCAGTGGTAGCCTGAAGCTCTCAAGCCCTGCCACCAACTAGCTGTGTTATCTTGTAAACAGAACTCTCTGAGCCGCTTATTCCTTGACTGTAAGATGAAGGCAATACACCTTGATTGCCCAAATTCCTTTCAAGTCAAAAACTAGGACAGGGAGAGGACAGTTAGGGGCCAGAGTTAAAATTCTTTCTTGTTTTAAAAGTGTGGCTCTAAAGTGTTGTTGTAGATGGTTGACTCTTCTGTGGTTTCATCTTCTCTGGTTCAGTCTTGCTACCACCTGGGATTCTAATCAAGATGGAACTTCCTCTCCCGTCTCAGGGCCTAGGGCTGAGGACCAGGTGGTGGCTCATTTAGAAGATGGGCTTTTCTTCTGACTCTCTTTTGAACAATTTTCTTCTCATTATCACCCGACCAGAGAATGGCAAAAGGAAAGAGAAGTGGGAAGACGAATTGGCCTATTTTGCTGCTTCTAAGCACTCAGATAAAGTTTTTGTTTGTGGAATTACTGAAAAGATCTGCCTTTTTTCTCACTCTTTTCTTTAAATGCAGGGAGGGAGCAGAGAACCAAGCAAAAGATTTTTCTCTTCTAGATTTCACTTATCCACATCTCCCTGGACTTGCCCTCTTCCACTATGGCCCCCATCCCAATTAACATGGAAATAAAAGGCTTATTTCACTTCCATTTGGGCTGCTGCAGATACCTGGCTGTTCGGTGAGCTGAAGTAGATGGACTTGTACTATTGTCTCACTGAGCTTCCTCTTGTGTACCCCATATACTGCTGAGGAAATGGAGGTACCCAGCAGACCCACCACAGAGGCTGGCTGTACCTGGGCGGGAATGGGCAGTGTCTTGCTTGGAATTCAATGCCTCTCCTTCATTCCAGATTCCTCTGGAGTCATTATTATTAGGATTTCCTTTGGCTGAAACCTCCCTTGGCAATTTTCTGTATGCCTGAAGGAGGGAGAATGGGTTGCAAAACCCATGAGAGAACTCACAGAAGCCTAAATTGTGAGACTTCTGCAAAATGAAAGACAAAACAAAATGGTTACCCTGACCTCCAGCAGACAGAGGCGGCCCCTTACTTTTGTTCTCTAACTGTGGTAAGATATATATGATATATAATTTAACATTGATAACATGTCAATGTACCATTTTGACTTTTTTTTTATCCTTACCCGAGGCTATTTTTGCATTTATCTTCAGAGAGAGTGGGCAGGAGAGAGGGAGGAAGAGAGAGAGAGAAACATTGATGTGAGAGAGACACATTGATTGGTTGCCTCCCTCACAACCCCAACCAGGGCTGGGGACGAACTGCAACCAAGGTGTGTGCCCTTAGCGGGAATCGAACCTGGGACTCCCTGGTCCGTGGGCCGATGCTCTAACCTTAGAGCCAAACCAGCCAGGGCCATTTTGACCATTTTAAAATGTATAATTCAGTGGCATTAAGTACATTCATAATGTTGTGCAACCATTGATACTATTCATCTCCAGAAAATTTTTTTTAATACTCACCCGAGGATATTTTTTCCATTGATTTTTAGAGAGAGTGGAAGGAGTTGTGTGTGTGTGTGTGTGTGTGTGTGTGTGTGTGTGTGTGTGTGCGCGAGAGAGAGAGGGAGAGAAACATCTATGTGAGAGAGACACATTGATTAGTTGCCTCTCACAGGGGCCCCAACCAGGACTGGAGATCAAACCTGCAACCCAGGTACATGCCCTTGACTGGAAATCAAACCTTGAGATCCTTTGGTCTGAGGGTCAACACTCTAACCAGTGGCCAGGGCCAGAATTTTTTTTTTTTATCATTCTAAACAGCCCCTCTCCTCTTGAAGTCCCTGGTAACTACTATTCCACTTTCTGTCGTTATGAATTTGACTATTCTAAGCACCTCATATAAGCAGAATCATACAACATTTGCCTTAGTTCATCCATGTTAAAGCATGTGTCAGGATTTTCTTCCTTTTTATAGCTGAATAATATTCCATTGTATGTATGTACCACATTTTGTTTATTCATTCACTCATTCAATGATGAACACTTGGGTTATTTTCAGCTTTTGGCTATTGTGAATAATGTGGCTGTGAACATGGGTGTGTGTATAAGGAGCTGTTTGAGTCCCTGCTTTCAGTTCTTTTGGGTATATGCCTGGGTCCCCTTTATTTTTAGACTCTTTAAAATGTGAGGACTATGCCCTGGCTGGTTTTGCTCAGTGGTTAGAGCATTAGCCTGCGGACCAGAGAGGCCTGGGTTCAGTTCCCGCTAAGGGCACGTACCTTGGATGCAGTTTGTCCCTGGCCCCGGTTGGGTGGTCAAGATAAATGCAAAAATGTCCTCAGATGACGATAAAAAAATGATAAAATGTAGGGAATACATTTCTAGATAGTACCGGAAACCTCACCTCATAAATGTAATGAAAAATACTATCCTAGAATTCAACTAATTTATTCCCCTGCTCGTGTGGGGATATCATTATTTTGGGGTGAATGCCCTGGAAACCCAGAGACTCACTTCTCTCATCCCCCAGCCACAAAAATTGCCTTCCCCTTTCCCCTCTCCCTTCCCTAAGGGCAGGGACTCTGTGGGGGTCAGGGTTGGGCTTGAGGAGGCTCCAGGAGCTTAGCAGTTATAGTTATCTAGTGAGTCTTGGAGTGAGGTCTCCTGGGTGAGAGGTTTCATCTGGCAGCAGGGGGTTGAGGGAGCATCTGGGATGACAAGACAGCTTGAAAGTCAAGAGTTAGTAAATCAGGCCTCCAGTCTCCTGTCTCTTCCCTTCCCCTACACCCAGGCTGGGCTTCCCCCCCCAAGGGGCCCAAATGAAATAATGGATGTGAAAACATTTCGGAAGGTGTAAAGTACAAATGCGAGGTGTTACTAGAACTACAGTTTCCTGTAGCTGACTGAAAGTCAACAATACCTTATATATTAGACATTATTTTAATATATTAAAGCTAAAATAAGTGAAAGGAATCTGGCATTACACATCATGTGCAATCATCGTTTCTCAGGAAATGCAGGGCCTTACTCATCCAGCTGTGTGTAAATAGACCTGGGACGGAAGTGGGATTTTCCTATTGTCTGGGTTTGAAATAGGTGAGAATATGAGCTCAAGTGAAGCCCTGGTTTCATTTCCTATTGGCTACCCTGAACTAAGTCCACCCTCGAAATCAGGGGAAACCGAAGGCCAGAGGGCACAGGAACTTGGGCTTGGTCATCATCTAGGCTCCTCCTTCCATCAAGAGGATTCTAGGAGGAGGGAAGGGCTGAAGGAGCCGAAATCTGCTAGTGAACAAGGAGGGTGGGCTGTTGACTAGGAGATCAGTGACTAGAATGGATTCTTTATACAAAGTAGATCATGGAGAGCATCATTACCGGGGTCACATCTCAGAATTAGAGTTAGATCTTGGTTGCTAGCTTTGCAAATGCTTCAGATTCAAGTTTGCTGCAAAACTATAACATTTCTTTATGTTGTAAAGCAAATGAAGTGAAAATGTCATTCTGACTCCAATTCTCCTCAACTAACAATTCTTTACACACCTTTGTTTGCTGCCGGTTGAGAACTGTCCCACCCTCTTTAGACCTTTGTCATCCTGTCCTGGCCAACACTGATTGCCAGCCTGCCCCTCAGAACCAAACAGCATGGTAGCCTCCCTCCCTGCATCTAGGAGCTTCCACTCCAA